CTCTCCCTATTTATTTCAAAACCCCCTTCCCCTCCCCCTTTTCTGATGAAGGGTCGAGGCCCGAAACGTCAGCCTCTCTGCTCCTATGATGCTGCTTGGCCTGCTGTGTTCATCCAGCCCTGCACCTTGTTGTCTTGTATTTGGTCAAAGGATTAGGTTTCAAGGAATGTCTCAAAGAAGGAGGGAGAGACCAAGAGGCTTGGTGGCTTAAGGAGGGATTTCCAGGGTTTAGGCATCTAAACGTTTCAAGACAATTTCTAAATGGTAAAACAGTTAAAATGGGAAGATACCAGAGGGCACAAGATTAGATAAGTACTGAGATCTTGAAGAGTTCGAAGATGTGGAAAGTTACGGCAACCAGGATGAGTATTTCAAAATCGTGTAATTTCCAAACCAGACAATGTAATTTGGTAAGCACAGGTATTGTGGGTGAACAACATATGATGTATATTAAAATACAGAAACGGAACTTTGGATGAGATCAGTTTCATATAGAATGGGAGGTTTGCCATTTATAAGTAATAAAGCCAGGTGCAGCAGAACGTGGTGATGTTAGTTTTCGTGATGGAATGTGTATGTGGAAAAATTTCAATTTGGGATTCAGATACAATACCAAAGGTTGGAATCAGTCTAGATCAGCTTCAGAAAGTTAATAGGGAGAATGATAGAATCTGTGTAGTGGCCTGGTGCAAAGTTAATGGTATTGATCTTCCCAGTATTTAGTTGGAGAAAATGTTTACTTATATTGGTCTGCCAGATCAGATAATAACAAATTCGGCAGAGTGGCTATGGACCAGTAGCTTTTTTCCTCCAAAGTTGACAAAGTGTGAGATCAAGGTACTTACTAAGAATAGAACCACAAGATTCCACATTTTAGACCAAACAACAATTTACTTTATTATACAAGATTAGTTCAGTAATACAATCTACAATATATGTATATGCAACTTGCATTCTAGCATCCAGAATTTGCCTAAATAAGTATGGTTAACAGACACATTGTGATCAGACATCAAACAGAGCACATTAAACAGCAAATATGGTCAAGACAGATCCCACGGATTTCTCAGCAACCCCTTCGATGATAGTGTCACTATCGGTCATTAAACTTCACAAGGGATTCTGATTTCTTCTCTTTTGAAGACCTAGTTTCATTACTTTGTCAAAAGCCATTCCATCACAGACTGTTTCAGTGTCTGGTCATGTTTTAGTATTGCACCCTTGCTTTCTTGGACTATGTTCCCCTGGGTTCCTGAAACTGTACTCCAGCACCTGCTTGCTGGCACAACTCCTGTTTTATCATCGACAGCTAACATCACCAAGTGAGATAGCAAGAACTGCAGATGTTGGAGTCAGAGACAACACAGTGTGGAGCTGGAGGATTTTTTTTGCGGCGGAGGCGGAAGAATTGGGAGTAGGGGATCGCATTCTTGTAGGAGGATGGGTGAGAGAAGATGTAGCCCAGATAGCTGTGGGAGTCTGTGGACTTGAAATAGATGTCAGTTTTGAGGTGGTCACCAGAGATGGATAGGTCCAGGAAAGAGCGGGAGGTATCGGAGATGGTCCAGCTCCACACTGTGTTGTCTCTAACATCACCAAATATTAGGTTTCGAGAAGCGCCTCAAAGTTTTCGTTTCTCTAAGTTCTAATCGATCTCAGCTGCACAAAGCAAATACTCTTTTGTAGCTTCCTTCGCCCATGGTCTCAGCTGTAGAACTATTAACTGCACATGGCATCTTTTAAGCCTCTACAGTTCACAGGTTTTTTGAGTTCTAACTTAAGCACTTAGCTGCACCTCCTTGCTGCCCAGAATTTTGAGACATAATGGCTTGGTACATTTGCACCTTTTTTGGGATAGAGCATCATATCCTTGTTCCTGAGTTTCTGACTGACTAGGAGCCCAAAGACTGCAATCTTATCCTATGGCTGCCTCTGTCAAACTAACTACAACACTTAGACTGTTCTGAATGATCTTTTGAAAACCTTGAAATAAGCTCTGCCTTGGTTCCAAGGCAGTATTTCATGTAACTGATATTTTGGAACAATGAAATGTCATACCACCTTGGAACTTTTTATTCCTGAATGTATCCATTTTATATTGTGCAAGTCAGCAATCTGTGTGTAAATTTTAACAAAGGAGATTTTCATCACTTGTCTGATTACTTATAGACAGTGAAGAATTGCGAGAGGTGATGAGCTAGAGCTGGGTGTGTACTTTAAGCACTTAGTCTTGTGTTTTTAAAAGATGTTGCAGATGTGCAGCATTTAGGTGAGAATAGGAAAGGATCAAGGATAGATCCTCGGAGAAATTCTAGAGATAACAGTTTGAGAAGCCTTTGCAGGTGAATCTGGTTAGATTAGAAGTGGTGACTTCGCCATTAAGATGGCCCTCTTGTGATGCAGTGGTAGTGTCCCTACTATTAGACCAGGAGGCCTGGGTTCAAGTTCCATTAGCTCCAGAGGTATGTAATAACATCTCTGAAATGGTTGATTAGAAAAATAAGTTAAACAAAAAATGTTTTAAATTAAGTGAGGGCACTCCAACTCACCTGGGAGATATGGGAGATGCTGGAGGCAAATGCTGTGGTCAGCTCTATTAAAGATTGCAAGCAAGTCACAGAAAATGAAGAGGGATAGTTTACCATTAACATAGGATGCCGTTTGTGATTTGTGGGCCATTTTAACACTGTGGAGATATACCAACTTAATTGGAGGGATTCTAGCTTGAAGTTGGTGCAAATCTGGGCTGGAGTTTGGAAAATGAGAATGCCTTGGAGCGAAAACAAAGTTTAGAGATCAGATGGTAGTTAGCAAGCACAGAAGATTAGAGGATTATTTTTTGAGGAAGGAGTGGTTACAGACTTAAAGTGGAAGGGAAAGCTGTAAATGAAGCAAGGGAATTGTTAATAATATCTGTTAAAATAGATACTTGGAAGATGGTTGTCACTGTAGTTGCAATTGGGTTGAGGGAGCATACAGTGGGTCTCTTGGGCAGGATGAACTAACGCCAAAAACGTTGAATTGTACATTTATTGCATTGGGTTTTGTGATCATGCTACCACTTTTCCCTTATTACAATTGTAACTGTCATTCACAATTAGAGGAATGTAAGGCGCAGTAGTATTATTGCTGGACTATTAATCCAGAGATCAGGTAATATTCTGGGAACCTGGGTTCAAATAGCAGATGGTGGAATTTGAATTCAATAAGGATCTGGAATGAAAAGTCTAATGATGATCATGAAACCATTGTTGATTGCCAGGAAAATCCCATCTGGTTC